TCTCATATATGAATTCACATTCTACGAGAGAGATTAATTTACAAAATTATTTGGCTATACAGTAGTATTTTCACTTAGTGTGCCCTTGGACACTGATTATTCTGTTTTAGACATTCCAAAACAAAATAACCCTCCCCACGTGACACATAGCAAACCTACATGACAGATGTTTTAGGGAAAAAACTTAATGGTGAAGTGAAATTTCTTGGTATGGCTCTTATACTCATAGTCTTGTAATTCAACTAGACTGTAATATTATTTCAGTAGGGAATAGTAAAAACCTCCAAACATGAAGGCCTCACGGACAAGTAAGGGGCGAAAGTCACACTTCGGTTCACAGTCTACAAAATACAATGTTTTCATTGTTTTACAGCAATTGAGGTCAATCAGAGGCAAGGCAAAGTGAAACATGATTCTCTATATCATTGGTTGTATTAAAACTGTCATATATTGATTGGCTAAAATAAGCAGTGATAGGGTATATGGTTACAGAGTTTAAAACCAATCACAAAATAGTAACATAATGGGTATTTTCAGGAATACGTTGCTAAGACCTTGCCTAGAGCATCGAATTTCCTAGGGAGATCTGAAACAAAGAGTTTCTATAAGGGGTTGGTTATAAACTCCTTGATGCCTATTACCTACATTCTAAGTTGGACTACAAAGGGAAGCATTTCTTTAATGTTAGGACTGACTATTGAACCATGAGATTGGGATATGTGTGAAAGTTTATGCTGAGACTTTGTGCTCAGCCGTTTTACCTGAGGTCAGATGCCTCTCCTTTTACATCCCCCATCTCTCCCTCTTTTGATCGAGGATTTAAAAAAAAACAAACCTTTGGTCGTGATCAAGAGCATATTCACTTCTTTATGAATTTATTCCTATGCTGCTGTTAGATTGTGGTTTAGCCTTAAGTCCCCCTTTCCCCTAGTCAGGAACTACAAAAACAGTAACTTGGTTCTGGACAGCTCCGGTCTAATCCACCTTGCTACTGCTGAGCAGCCGTCTTCGTTGATCTTAGCATGGGCAATAGATATGGGATAGTCACGTTGGAAGAATGCCACCTGAAATGCGGGTGTTTGTGGTTTGGCTTTTGAAATGCAGGTATTTTTACCTTGGAGTGGCACAGCCAATTTTGTTCCTTGAAGTAAGAGAAAGAAATGTAACCTCTATTGGGAGATGCCACCAGTGAGGAAAGCAACACGCCTAGTACCATCGTGCTTGAGATCAGAGAGAATATGTCTCGTGTGCTTTGTGATTAGTTTCACAGTAACTACAGGAAACAGTTGTTCACCATGAGCAAGCAAACAGAACAATAAAGTTCTTTTCGTTTCGGCCAGCCTCTGTATGTTGTTGAATAGACGGTAGCAGGACCTACCTTTCAATTACTAGCAGGCAGTTAACAGTCAGTTAAATAAGAGAAGAGAAGGGGTCATCTGGCCCTTCTGGTGACATCTACATTCAGCCTGTTTGTCTTTGAGCAACGTGTCAATTTATAAAAAATCTATAGAGACTGCAATTAAGGGTTTTTTTTCTAATGACATTGAGTAAAATAACATGGGTTACAAGAACAATCTGACTTTCAAATGTCTAACCTAAGTTTTGAAACTTTACTAGTTCTGAGTTTCCAAATAAAGTGCTGATGAACATAAGTTCTTGAGCACAGAATGAAGCAAGGTTTTCCGTCCCTGTAGTAGATAAACATCTTGTGATATAGTTTATCATCTCAATAGCAAGGATTGCTATTAATATCTTTTGATAGCAGGGCACCATCAGCTTTC